AAACTCTTTAACACAAATGTTCTTAAAATACCCATGAATCACACACCTTATGTCACAATTATGTATTTCATTTCTCTCGTTGGACAAAACGTACTGAAATAAGGCTTTGCTGTCCTTTATTGCGAAAGCCAGCAGCTCCAATTCATTGGCACATGCACGTTCCAGTCATGGGTCAGTAAGTGGCCTGTGCACACATTCCTTCCATGTTCAAGAGTACACCTTGAGGCCCTTCAGCTGGTGTGTCTTCTGCAGGGATTGTAACTAAAGTAAGCCAATCATGAAATGTTAAGTTTCACTACTAATTGTGCAGTTGCTGTCTGTCATTTCCCTTTGAGGCTAAAAATGCCTGGCAATTGATGCTGCGTGTAAAAGTTGTCTTATCCATCTTGCTGTTGTAGTTAGTTCTAAATTTCCAACATTCTGTCTTCCATTTGAATATTCAAAGTTAATTTAAAATAGAAGTTGGGTCCTGTCATCAGTTATCCATTTTTACTGTGCTTAAGTTACTTGTTACGCATTAAGTGCCTGCCTGAAGATAATGGTAGCTCACTTATTTACATATTTTTACCCCACATTGACATATTTGTATCATAGGAGGGTGACTCCAATTCCAAGGCAATCTTACATGTGCTGTTCAATTAAGGTTGGAGGAACTGATGCAAAAGATGTGGTTTTGATCCTACTGACTCTAAATACTTTACATACAAATTCCCTTCGCTAAGTATGATAACCCAATACAATCAACTAGTGTCACTGTATCCATTAAACAAGTCACTAACCATTATTATCAATAAAAATTGGAATTCAATCACTTTCTAATGTTATTTATGACTTAGGTGAGTCATATAAAATCATTTTAAAACAATTGCTTGGAATCTTTAGCTTTTCCAGGTCAAAATCTAACTTTCTCACGCCTTGTGTCTTCATTGTTCTGGATCACTTTTGCTTTAAGTATGGTGATCTGCTCAAATTTTCTACAATGTTTTTTTCTTTAGATTTCACTTTCTTCATTTCCATAATTTGTAATATAATTCACTTTATCCCACTAACTGAAATCCCTGAATAACGCTGACTCAGATTTATGTTCCCTAATTTTATGTGACATTCTCTAACTTTTCACCTGCAGACCACTTCACCCAATAACACTAAAATAACATCACACATGGACGTAAAATTCACCAGCTGTCCCTTCATCTGGATCCATCTTGAGGACAGTTCTTACTAAGTGTTCATACTCCTAAGTGTTTGCTGTTCAGAGCCAAGTTTTTCTCCTTTTTTTACTTTACTTTAATTTTGCTCACTTTAGCAGGTTTCAATGTGTTCAACTCTATTCAATTACTTTAAGGTCAATTTCTCTAAGGAGTAAGTGTCAAGGCCTTGCTGATTTTAAAGACGCTCTGTCACTTTACTGTCTACATTAACCATTTCATACCATGCTGTTTGTCAATTAGGTGCACGTGACTGAAATCTATTCTTCAGTGGAAGTGTTTTTTCTTTAATATTGAATTTATTCATCTTCAAAAGAAATTATATCATTTTTCTTCTGTACATTGAAACCACTGAAACTATATGTATGTGTTTTGTTATTTTCCCAGAATCTCTTTAAATTTCAGGTAACTATTCCCTTTACATGTTTAGAATACCAACCTATGTGAATCTTAACATGATTAATTATTATTATTATTGTGTCCATGCTTAGTGGTTTTGGAATGCCTGCTTCTCAATATTTGATGTTTTACAGTAGTTCTCCTGTTTTTGGCACATCATTAACAAATGGCTTGGATGGGTTAAAGATGATTCCATTAGAAAAGGACAAAGTATTTTTACTCCACTGTGTTATAATGTTGGAAATCTGCAGACAATTCACAAATTTTTGAAGGCGTTGGAAAACATGTTGCATTTGCAGTTATCTAAGAAACAAAATAAGATCCATCCATCCTGTTTCAAGCAGAATGGGTTAATTCATCCACAAACATCCCTGAAAATTCAGAAGCTTAAAATTTGACAATGTCTTGGCAATTTGTTTTGAGGAAGGGTCACTGGACCTGAAATGTTAACTCTGCTTTCTCTCCACAGGTGCTGCCAGACCTGCTGAGTTTATCCAGCAATTTCTGTTTTTGTATAAAATTTGAAGAGCTGTGCAGTCAATTTAAGTTGTACAGTTAATTCTCTGCTCAGTTGAAAGGGGTGGGGTAA